CTGCAGCGCTTCTGCGAGCGGAGAAAAACATAATAAAGCTAGGCTATATATATATAAAACGAATAAATAGGCCTATATGAGAAACATATTTTTACTTAAAGGCACAATATGTAATTTTTGCCGCTAGAGGGCGCGTATTCAAAATAAGCAAATAGACAAAGGCGTAGTTTGATGACGCTGTGACTGAGTGTGGAATCATGGGAGTTGTGGTCTTCATCCGCACAGCCGATGCAATCCGACGGGACTCGGGCAGAAATCATGTTCATGGATGAGCTAATGATTTATTAACGTAGTAGAATGAAGCAGGGTGAGGCTGAAAGCCGTCGAAGTGAAACGAGGCGCTGAACGAGCGTGACACACGGCTGGAAAGCAGCGGAGCTTTTATTATGCCACAGTCGACCGCTTCCGCTGCTTCCGGTCGTGCGTATGTGGGGTAAAGCAGCGCTGTTTTATCATACTAGATACGTTTGAAAGTTCTGTTATAATGCTACTCTGTGCGGTCGTCACCGGTCTAATAAAACGCACAACATATTAAAGCGTCTTTGGTGTTTCCATGTTTTCTACAAAACAAAACCGGAAATGGAGGGTGCATGACGTCATTGGCAGGCGACGCAATAACCAGGGACCAGCCACTATTTAAAAGAGCTATTTCTCTGGATTTAAACATTCTTCGAAATATTTGGGATAATGTAAGTACACAAGTCAGCAAAATATAACTGTTCTAATGATTTCTGGATATTTTAATTAAAAAAACGTACATATTGTGCCTTTAAGTCAGTTATTTCTATCTTTTGCAGTAGTGTAGTGTGTCGGTAGGAAATATCAGTTTACATTTCCAAACATTTATTTTGCCATTGATTGTAATAATGCAGTGAGATTTTTGTCTGACAGCAGCCTGTGCTCCTCACAGAGATCTGTGATCATCATCAGTCTGTTTGTAGTGACATGAAGAAACAGAACAAACTGAGACAGACTCAATCCAGAAGAACTGTGGAGACGTCTCCAAGATGCTTAAAGAAACCTACCTGCAAAGCTACAGTACTGTTAAAAGTTTCAGGCACTTGTGTAAAAATGCTGTAAAATGAGGAAGCTGTCAAAAATAATGTCATAAATAGATTTTCTTTATCAGTTAAGTTCTATTAACTAAATAAAATCAACATTTGTTGTGAGCATCGTTTGTGTTTAAAGCAGCTTTTGCCCTCTTTCTGAAGACAAGTAAACAGTCAGTGATTAAATAAGAATAAGAAACTAATTACAAGCAACAGGACAAAAAACTACAGTAGAGCAAATAAGAAATGCTATGCTACATACATTGTATAGAGTAATCAAATGTATAAAAACGCTGCATATTCTTCACTGTGTAAATTAAATATATATTTATTCTTATTAAAGTTATAAAAGTGATTTAGTAAAGAGCAGTGAGAGATTATCTCTCTTTTGTTGTTTGATTAACATGATTGTCAGACAGCAGGAATATTAGACTGCTGTCACTTTAAGAGCTACCCGGATTCAATATACTGTTACACATGTGTTTTCTTTCTCAGCTGTTTGCTTTCATTTAAGACCTAAATTACTGTGTTTACGAGGATACTTGCAAAAACGGGCATTTTGACATAAAAGTGTGTTTAACCATTCAAGTCCTATAAAACGGTAAAAATAACTCAATACTCGTTCATATAACGTCCAATACTCTATGAGCACTGTTTTCACGTGTGCGCGCCTCTCTGACAGCGCTCAGAAACAGTCTTTCAGACAGCACACACACATATAGCTAAATTAGTTCTCTTTCACTGCTGATTGTGTTTCAATGGCTAAAAATCACTTAATACAGTTACCTTCAAGGTGGTATCTTTATTTCAGTGCACCTTGATATGGCGACGCCCATCATCCGTCTTCAAAACCCCACTGCTCCAGAGGATCGTCAACAGGCCCTATTGGTGGCGACGAATGAGGCCTGTGCCCACAGAGATAGACAGAAGACTTTTCCTCTCCCCCCTGCACAGCTGCTGAATGAGTCCACTGCCCTAGCCCATGCTGAAAGGGCACTTCATGCTGAAGGGATCCCTGCGCCATCACGACAGCAGTGCCTGGGGAAGCTGGTCCTGCCATTTGGCCAGTATCTCAATGCCCCGTTTCACTGGCTTGTGGCAAACGATGTGGGCTACATGAAGTAGTAAGCATATTCAACTAACAAAGTTTTTATTTATGCTTAAAAAGATGCTGATAGCAAATAATCTCTCTCTCTCTATATTTATTTATGTAAGTCCATGGCTGTTATCACTGTGTAGCCTGTTAACTTTTTGTCTTTGCAAAGTTTCAATCTTAATTTTGCAATTGATGCATGTAATTGCAGTTTGGTTGACAAGCATAGAGAAGAACTCTCTAACAAACCTGGAAAGGAGAAGATCCAACATCACTGGATAAAAGACTACCTGGCAGAGTACGCAGAGAGCTTTCCACAAGTCTCAGTTGTCCTGGAGGCCAATGTCCACCAATGCATTTATGGACAGAAAGGGTTCAAGTACCATACCTTTCAGGAGATGTGGGAGCTCTACAGCCAGTATTCTGCCCAGAAGGACAGGCCAGAGGATTTTAGTATGATCCAAAAAGCGTACAGCTCTGTAAGCCAGTGGCTACACACGCCTGTGACCCATATCGCCAGCGTGCAGATGAAAAGGTTTAGGAAGTACATTTATGACAAGAAAGATCAAGTGAGTTGTGTGATGCACAAACCGTCTTACCACAACTTTAAATGAATGTTTACAATTGCAATTACCATTTCAGCATATTACTTCTTTCATGATAAAACAAAATTGTTAATCAGAATGTTATGAATTATGTTTGTTACAAAGATGTCAAGCTCTTCCATCAGTGACCCCTCGTGGCTGGATGACACTCTCTTATTAGAAGTGATCAAAGCAGAGTCCACAGCTTCCACAGCATCATCCACGGCCATCTACACGCCAGCATCCTCATCCACGGCCATCTACACGCCAACATCTTCATCCACGGCCATCTACACGCCGGCACCTTCATCCACGGCCATCTACACGCCGGCACCTTCATCCACGGCCATCTACACGCCGGCACCTTCATCCACGGCCATCTACACGCCGGCACCTTCATCCACGGCCATCTACACGCCGGCA